TGACAAGACCAAAGTGATCTGTGTGTTTTGTCATTGTGAACTGAGCTATCATCGCAGCACGTCCAGTCTGAAATACCACTTGATGGCCAAGCACACAGCTGATGTGAATTCTCCGCCCCTTCGTCAAAGCCAGCCGACAATGGATGATTTTTCAATAAAATCAACATTTGCACAAAGCAAGCCGATCCACTTTTCCATGCTGATAAGAGCATTAAAATGAGAATAAATAATGGGACAAAAAGAAATCAAGGGACATTTAGAATAGATAAAAATGTGCGATTAATTGCGATTAATTGCGAGTTAACTATGACATTAATGCAATTAATCGTGATTAAATATTTTAATCCTTTGACAGCACTAGCAAATATGATATCCTGATCCAGTAATACAAATTTAAACCAGTGTGTGCATGTAAATACACTTAGTGGCGGACTATGGGTTTTTGATGACGAGATACATAGCAGAAATTGAAAAAAACAAGTTATTTGTCGATGGTGCACTTTAGCTTCAGTTTCAGTATCGTCCCAGAAGACCCAGAATCTGGCCGTGCTGTTAGAGTCATAAAACATACTTAAGCTGGAATAAAAGTTTACATCACATGTTAAAAACGGCATTATTTTCCCACATACAGGGGATACGTTTTCAACTGATTAAATGGGATGTGCTCTTTCCCTACACTTTCTGCTATACATATGTATGTGTGCCTTTGTGCACCAGCGCATGTGTTTTCACACTTCCCATTGGAGAAATTCATCATCCTCCAGGCGGCATGTTTATATTTATCTCCTTTTTCTTGCACGTGTGAGAGATTCACAGGTACGCGTGCTCACACACACTGCATGCACATGCAATCTCTTCCGGTTTTCTTTTAATTAATGACTGTGGTGCTAATTAGACGGGATGCAACTCTTCAATTCCCTCCGACTGTCTCTCATCCATTCTTAGACTCACTCCTCCAAGCCTTATGAAGCAACACTCTGAAGTGTTTTGATCTCAGCTGGGAACACAAAGACAAAAGAAAAGGAGAGTTTGTTGAATACAATAACTTCAGACACTGTGCTGCACAGTGCTAGATATGATAAAGAAGGATTTTACTGCAGTTTTTGTGGCGCTCATGGCCACTCAACAAGGAGGCTATGTCTACTCAATTGTGCAGAATTGTATTGTGTTCTCTGTTGCCTGCAAGTATTTTTTGCTACTCTGTTCACTTTAATCACCGCTATATCCTCACTTCCACAGTCCCCCCTAATGAGCATGACACACAGACAATGTCACCATGTTAAGCCTCTATTCTTTTAATGATCTTCTTCCTCTCCACTCGGCGTGACAAAGGTTGCCTCCTGTCAAAGTTTAGTCAGCATAGGTCATGGAGAGATGTTAAAAGACCACACATTTAGCAGAGAGAAAAGTCCGTCTGTGGTCAAAATGACCTGTTGACCTGTTAGACTTTGATCCTGAATTGAAACATCTGATAAGGAAACTGAAGTCATTTAAAGCACTTTCTCTGGAGTTTTGAAATGGGATTCGTATTGTGTCTTTGAAACAAGGCTACTGTGTTTGTTTGTGTTTGTTTTGTTCTCCTGCTCCCACACAACACATATTTGGCATCACACATTGCAACAGTAAAAGCTGAGAACAACAAACTTGGAGGACGGGCAGCAATACGGGTGCCTTGATAAATGATGAGATTGTTGAGGCTTCCTTAACAGCACAGTTGAGATAATTACCATCTGTCATCAAGGTGATGTGGTGTGATGAATGTGACTACAAGAAGCCTTCGTGGATACAGTACAACAAACAGTTGTTTGCTAAACCACATACTTGACAAAAAGAAAATCCACCCCTGGGTTACAATGACAGCCAGTGTTTACCAGACATCTGACTTGTTCTCTACTGAATTCAATGTCGGCTGTCGGCTTTAAGATCCACCTTGCATTCAGACTGCAGTTAAACCACAGTGATGAAATAATGTCAGTTTACCACTGAATGCTGATTAATATTCACCCGTAGAGCTATCCACAGAATGGTTCTTAATATACAGTACTATAGGTCCTTTCACAGGAGACATTATAACTTGCCAAAGTGCACAGGTGTTACTCTGTTCTATTCAAGTGTTCCTAAAGCGACACAGTAGCCCTTTTCCACAGCACTGACTTCTCATAGCAAAAAGCAAAGGTGAAACAAATTTTGTTAATAACTTCTCAGGTCTATTAAACACACTACAATGACTGGTTAACTGGTTATGAATCATTTTCAATTTAATATGGATGCCTCTATATGACCTACACAAACAAACAAGACCATCAGCAAGAAGGTTGGCTATTTCTATTTAGTTATTCTTAATACCTGGCATCGGGTCAGATTTTGTCTGATTTCCCTTGAAATCAATGAAACAAGGCGGTAGAAACACTACCACTACAGGGGCTGCCAGAATCAACATAAAATGAAACTTCCTTATAGGGGCTTTAAGTGCCTCAGTTAACCAATGCCAGTGAGCCTGCACATACAATAGCAGGTCCCTGGACCTAGCTTACCTAAATGAAGAGAGGTTGTTTTTAATGCTATCAATTACAACTGTGCTTTTCCTGCTATGACTGGCCAAATGTCTGCTGTGAAGAAGGTCTGTGCCAGTATTGTAAAAGCTAAGCAATTAACTTAATTCAGCCATTGAATTCATTATTTACATCTGTGCTTTTCCCGCTGTGACATGTCAAAATGTCTTCTGTTGATTGCGTGTCACTTCTGAATTCCTTACAGCATACTTGTTTGTACTAATTACTCGTTATAGTAGTAGTTCTTGTTTTTGGTATACAAGAAATGACTGTACTTTACCCTTTTTTCCTACAGGACATCCGGAAATGTCAATCAGTTTGCAAATTTAAAATGCCAGGATTAAACTTCACAAAGAGATCAAATGTTTTTTCTAATGATGTACAACTTATGTTGCTTGTTTTCAAATATATTCCTGTATCTGCCTCACCACCATCATTTATTGTAATGTGATGCAGCTGTGAGTAGATCCTTTATCCCCTTTTTGCATTGCAATGTGGGACAATAGTGCACTACAGCACACTCAAAAATCAAGCATTTTGTAGTATGCATACAGACATTTTTGAAGAATAAAAAAATCCAGTGTGAACACACTGCCCTCATAACCTGATTAAAATGATTACACAATATGAAATTGGGACACAGGTCCACCCATTTCAAAGACAAATTAAGTTTGATATGTTGAACTTTTGAATTAAATGTCAGAGATTCAATTTAATGTCACACAAACCTTTTGTTCCTTTTTTTGTTTTGATTCAGCATCAATGTCAGACTCTCTTCTCACCATACGTCTCACCATATGTGCCCCCTTTCCCTCGCGAATGTGAATATGCTCTTTAAGCAAACCACTGGCATCCACAGTCGAGTGCATCTTTCCCCACCTACTGCAGCTCATTTAATAATTGAAAATCACTCACCGTAGATGAAAGACAAAAAGAGGGAGGCCATTATCATTCTGCACAGAGTAAAATCTTTGATGTCACACTACATTCTTTTGTAAGCTTGATCTCTATGCACAGCTCTGGTGTTTTGTCTGAGTGGACCTAGATGTTCACTCAGTTGGGGGCTTCCAAAAGCAGGGACCGCTGGGATATGTATATTTGCTCTGCTGTCAACTTGTCAGAGCAGATACAGATTAATTCCAAGAGTGTCAATGAAACAAAGCCACAGGGGTAAACAGGGGAGGAATTGGGATGCAGGCTGGGTAGAAGAGAAAACTGAGACTTAGTGAAACAGAAGTTGAGAAAGTGACTGAATGATGGATTGAATAGATATAGTAGGGTCAAATTTAGAGAGGAGGCACTAACTGCTTTTGTTGCTGAAGTTTCTATTTCATTTGCATGTATGAGACTGTGAGAGTTTCCTCAAGAGGGACAGAGAAAAACCGAACAGCGAGAAAGGTAAAAATGGCCGGAGGCAAAGATTGATATCCAAAGCAACTGAAGCACCCAATTAGGCTTTACTGGCATTTTAGCCTCCATCTCTGTGCACTATGCAACACAGTTACACTTATATATGTTGATAAGGATACATTTATTGAGCTGAAATTAATTAAAAACACATCCTTGCAATGCATTGCCTTTTCCTAAGACATTTTATGAAGAACAGCTTAAACACATTTCACATTTCATTAGCTGCTTAATGATCATTGCCTGACTGGCACTCTCACGAAAAGTGTCAATCAAATTCAACTGTTGAAGTTTCTGGAAAGTTTGAGGACTACCCAGAAACCAATGGGTCTTCAATTAATTGCGCAGTCTTTATCAAAATGTCTTGTCTCTCTTGCTGGCTTGTAGGGGTTGAGAGCATTATGGACAAATACTATTTTTACTGCAGATTCATTGTCATTGGCAAGTCCAGCTACATCTCACAAGGTGGGGTCAGTTATTCAGGAGAAAGATAGTTGATTGTTCAGTCCCAAGTCGTCAAATACCGACGCTTTCAGTTATGGTAAATGGGAAACAAACAACATGACTATAGAAAAGAGATTCAACAATCAGTCTTTCTCCTGGGTAACTGACCCTACCTTTCACACAGTTGTTAAATTTTGATTGATCACTTGGTGTGTTCTGTGAAGATTTTTTTCCCAAGCAAGGAAAAAAAAGGACCCTGAAACTAATTTATCCGCATATAGAGAAAGGTTATAAGGTCTCACTTAATGGGGATTGGATGGTCCTTTTCTGCTGCAGCCCCAATTTGTGATTTTGGCTGAAAAGACAGATGTTTTCGTTGAGAAAATGAAATTATTTTCCATTGCAGGTTTCAGCCTGTAAAGATCACCACACTTCTTCAGTTTCTTCCTATCACCTTGCCTTACTTTGCACTTTCTTGCAATCCAGCTCCCTTGCACAAGAACTGAGCCTTAACTACATGTACCTCAGAACATGAGGAGGCAGTTTAATACACCTGACTCCTTGGCTGATCATTTATTCCTCTCTTTTCTCCACCAGGTGTCGAGAAGGCTACCAGGGAATCCGCTGTGACCAATTTCTGCCCAAGACAGACTCCATCCTGTCTGACCCAAGTGAGTTTCCAAATTTGTGAACTTCAGTGTATTCAGTGCACCAGCATCTATCATTTCACCATGAGTCCAATGTAAACATGAGGGGGAAAAAAGGGGTAATATTTCTCAGACTATTATTAATTTTATTAATTATTATTAATAAAGCACATGAAAAAAACTAATTCAATGTCTATGACCTTACACAAGCCTTTGCTGTATGTGCTATCGCTAAGTCCTCAGCTCTGCTGTGCAAACATCCTGCAAGATAGGGAAATGGATAATAATAGCTTGAATGCCATTATAGAAGCACTCAACTAGACATAGTGTAAAGATAATTCAGCTGTTTGTTTCATATTGCATATTCCCCTTGAAATAGCCATGAATGGTATTTCCTAAAAAATGCTGCAAGTTATTGCAGCAGCAATGCAGTGATAGGTTGGTTTCTTCTCTTACCACAAGTAATATTAGACATTATTTTGTGTATATACTTGCACAATATTTAGATCTTTTATCAGTGGGTTTTAATGCAGGTACTGATGGTTTTTGGTGGTTTTTGCTAGATAATTGCATTCACCTGGCACCCCAGGTGAGCATCAGTCCCTGATTAAAAAGCCAGCAGGTGCCATGGTTCTAATTCTAAAAGCCAATGCCTGTTGTATGCATTGATACACACTGTGAAACAGGGCCACTACAAAGCAGAGTAAATATTTTGAAGTAAAATTTTTATGGATGAAAACATTGAAAATAATGTGAGAAAGTAAAAAATTATATAATACCTCTGAATCCTTTAGCTTAAAATTACATTACAACGATTCCAAGCAATCTACAGCCAAGTTTTCTTTTATGTCAGAGTAACAATAATTTATGTTTGCAGCATATCAACCTTAGCTTTTCTGTCTTCAATTACATTCTCCTCTTTCTTATTTTTGGCCTCATATTACCTTTTCATTTTGTCTTCTATTCTCTGCATTCTCAAATACCCTCTCCTACTCAGACTAATGTCACGTCTACCATTTATTTATCTCCCAAAGACATGGTCCTCTCAATGTCATATAGCTGAGGGAAGAGCACAAATTGCCCTAACTTCTATCCTTACCGCTTGCTATCTATGCCATATTAATTTCCCTGTTCCTCAGCTTATTCCAACAAATATGCAACCTTGTCACAGAGGCACTAAGGTTGTGCCAGTACAATAGCTTATCTGTAACTTTTCTACTAACAAGGTACATGCTGTAATAGCACCATTTAACGTAAAAGGACAGTACTGTGCCTTTGGGGATTTTTACCTCATAATTGTCCAATGTAAAAGAAAAAAACCCTCTCTGGTAATATTATGAAATGTACATTTCTCATTATGAATATTAAATGTTCTACTTGATTGCAAGGGAAAATCTGCCATAAATGAGACATGTAGATTAAATGTGGCAAATGCAACAACACTGGTATCACTTGCTCTTTGTTAATATCCTTCACTTTCCAGATCATTAATTAAGTCTCTGTAATGAGGTTTTTAATTCCAAGCAAGTATTAGGGTAATTGTCCTTGTTAGAACAACATTGGTGTTCACTGAAGTGACACCCATCGCTTTGTTTGTACACCAAACCTACTGACCTGAACGTATTGGTAGCTAAGAACTGTTACCATCCTCATCACTTAAACAATTTGTCAAATGTCAGATGGCCACAGTTGTTGACTGTGTTGCTACTTCATCTGTTGATCATTGTGAGGAAGCCTTAGACATTATCCTCTTTGTGTAATGGTAATTCCTTCAAAGCTTTTACCTGTACCGAGCACAGACCCAGGGGCCTAGGGGGGCAACTGGCCCGAAAGCAACACCATCTATTTGACTTTTTATCAACTACTAATTTGTGATATTTGCGTTTACTTAACCTAGAAATATGTCTGACAGCCAAATAAATCTGCTTTAAGAAAATATAATCTTCAATCAATCAATAATCTGATTGTGGGTAATAATTTATTTTATGGATGCCATAGTTTCCTAGAAAAGAACTGATATGTAATTGTACATTCAGCGCAATAAAATAAATAAAGGATGCCTTGGTGCTAATTAGACTGAAAATGGACGCTGTTCAATTGTTGAGCCTTCTGTTGATTCCAATTAATAGCATAACCTAGAATGTCTTTATCTCAGGACAGCTGGAAAAATGTGTTTTTAAAGGCAAGCATACAAGTCGACTTTCCTAATGATAAATTAATATTTTCTTGGGTTTAAAAAGGAACTTACTTATAAACTCAACATGACAAACTAAACTTTTCCAGGAACCTTCCTATGAAATTACAGACCTGTGCAATAAATGTTTTGCATTGGATATGTTGTGCAGTTTTCAACCAATGGCAGCATTTTAGAGTTGTGGTCAACCTGAAAAAGATGCAAAAATGCTGTGAGTGCCACATTTCTGGCCATGAGAGGGGTGCTGCTAGGGGGGCTTTTTACCTGTCTGTGCTCACAGGCTCATTTTCCTGAGATCCACCCTTATGTGGAAATAATAGAAAATAGCTGCATGCCCTGGCTTTCTCTGTGTTTTATCAAAACAAGTTCCAGGATCTGTTTGTAGTGCCTCAAAGGCTCAACAGTGTTGCCTGTAACTCCAGGGGTGAAGAAAATTGAGTTACAACATGAATCAGAGTTGTTCTCTAACAAGTACCAAATCTTGACCATAACCTCAAATTGGTTTTCTCGCCTAAGTGAGTTACTGATTATTAATCTATTAATCAACTCTTCCAGGTCAATTTCCATATAAATTGACTGGGGGTTACCAAGGCATTACTGAGGAATGGGGGACTTTGAAAAAAAAGTATAGGAAAGAAAGTAAAGTCTTTTTGGCATCCTGGCTGAACCCCCGACACACACCGCATACACCTTTCTGTTTGTATCAGCTTTAGCTCCCTCATACATTTCTGATCTCATTTACCCATTCTTTGCAACTTTCTCTAACTCTCTGCCAAATCTCTATCCTCAATTCATTTTCTGATAGTAAGAATTGATCGGCCTACTTTTAGGCCATTCTTCTCACTGGTTTCGATCCCACTCTTGACTAGCTTCTTTATTTCTGACAAGTCCCTGTTTTCTGTTCCCTTCTACAGAACACAATGTCATAAAGCATATGGATTTATTTTTTCAGTAACACCACCTTTTTCTTTCTTTTTTCCCATTTTACTCAACTACTTCCTGCCTCAAAAAGTTGGTAAGTGCAAAATTGGAAAAGAAGAGTGGTAGATTGTGGCCTCCCTCTTCTTTCCTCACCCCTCAGATAATCTTGTCACGGCATCACTTTCCTTGACTCTTTTGCTCGCAGCTCATCAAATCCTAATTTCCCGGGTTACCTTTGTGTCTCATGTTCGAGCTTGCCTCAGTGTTGACATCCTTGTTCCCGCTACCAAATTTCCCTCCTGACGGCCCCCTCTCGCCCCCATCTGTCTCTTGCTAACCTCCTCCGTGCCATCCTTTCCTTAACACGCATCTTGTCCAAGCGTCAGACCTCATCCCTTTTCCCCAGCCTATGGTTCTCTGTCCAACTCATCTCCTAACACTAAGTGGCACGAGCCTCAGATGGACTGAGGCTTGAGTTGTGCCAGCTAAAAAGGTTCACCAGCAGGGCAGACAAACGCTGCCAAGGACCTCTGGCATGCTGCGGTCTCGACGGAAAGGAAGGGCGCGGATGAGGAGGAGAGAGGCTGGATGAAAGTGGACACATCTTCTGGGTTGGGCTATCACACTGTCTCAGGGTCTCAGAGGACGACAGGAGAGTCATGACTCCAATAGCTTTACAAGCACAATGAGTGTGAGAGATTAGGCGAAAAAGATAGAAATGTTTGTGGCTTTAAAAACTGCATAAGAGTTCTCAAAAGAAGGAAATTAATAAATGTATTTTAATTACAATTTATTGATCATTTAGGCTATAGAATCTCAAAAAATAGTGGAATATATAAGACGTTCTGAGAGCAAAAGCTTTCAAGATTCTTGTTTTATCTGACATACGGCCTTTAATTGTTCAATTTACAATTATTTAAAACAGAGAAAAGCAGCAAATTCTCACATTTGAGAAGCTCAAACCAGCAAACGTTTTCCATATTTGCCTGGCAAATTAAGCTATGTAGACCAGAAAGAACAGTGACTCAGTGGTAGGTCACTTAGACACTAATGCTGTGGAGATCCCAAAGTTTCCAAGGATACCAAATATGACAAAATTTTGGGGAAATGTGTGTAAAATGTTGAAAGCTTCTAGAATATTTCCATTTGATGCTTATGACGCAATGGTGCACCCCCCGAAAAAAAGTCTTGGGTTTGAATATTTCAATCAGTGTAAACATCATATGGCTTGAACATAGCTAAGAGTTGAAACAAGCTAATGCAAATTATGTGTGGTAAAGTCAGATAGTGAGATGCAATGATTTTAACAAAGAGATGAAAAAAGAGAGGAAAGGGAATGTTAAGGGATTAATTATTTATTAAAAAAAACACATTTTAAAGTAATGAAGACTAATTATTAATTGATTTATAGGCTAGTCAGGAATCAACAGCTGTACAGCTTTTATTCAAAGGTTTATTGATTTTTTTGTTGGCCCAGGCTGCTCTAACTGTACCAAAACTAAAATCTTAAATCATCCTTATCACATGTGGTCTTGCATTTAGGTAGTGTGGTGGGTTTTGTGCACATCCAACTCCGGCTAGGTGTATGACAAAGAGATTATGAGAGAGAGGTTGTCCACACACTTAATTTGGTGAGCTCCAAAAGTATTTATTAAATCAATGCACAGTCCACCTTAAAGTTATACTATGTAAGATTTGTTTGTGATTTTGTGCCGCCAGTTTAAAAGGGCAATACCACTTTCATAAATATTGACAGCTGTACACATGCAATTGTTATAAATTACATTTCTTATTGCTTATCAAAAACTAGCGAGTCGACGACTTTGGTAACACACCCAAACATCGAGCAAGTGCAACAACACAAAACATAGCAAGCAGCTAATTATTACTGACTAGTCCAACAGCAAGA